ACCGGCGCGGTGTTCACGTGCCGTTCTCGCTGCCTCACTGACGACCTCGTGCTCAGCAGTAGTCTCAACGACGTCTTTATCCCGCGCTGCCGAGTCGTTCCCACTCGTTACCACCGCCACCGTTTCTATTTCGATGAATTCCTGCGCAGCCGACTCGTTCACGCCCGTTGCCGCAGCCTCAGCTACGCCGATAAATTCTGGAGTTGACGAATACTCCTCATCGTTTCCTTTCACAGTTGCCCTAATCTCTTCATTTCGGTCCTCCCTCGTGACTGTCTCAGTTGCTCCACCCCTCCCACAATTTACTGTCGCTGCTGCGACCACCGCTGAGGAACCTCAACCGTGCAATCGGATTTTGGCCTCGCATACTCTAGAGAACAGGCTCCCTTTTTTGCACCCTTCCAATTTAGATGCGGCCGGTCTCTGCTAAAATTGCTGTGGCGACCAAAAGCCTTACGTTCGCCGTCACGAATCCAGGAATTCGCGTCTACGAATGTCACATCAAGACTTTCCACCACCCACTCGTATATACCATTAATTTCTGCAATGTGACGCCAGAAGATGTATTTTCTTCTCAATATACCACTTAGCACAATCTTAGCTAAATCATTGCATTCAGAAAACAGGAAACTTCTTTTGCGCCGCCACGACAACTTCGTACGCACACGCGCATAATGTTCTTACTATTTCCTTTTAAGTTGTTTGTTCCTACATGAAAAATAACATTTTCAGCTGTGCCCAGGTCTTTTCTTTCGATATATCATCGTAATTGATCGACACGAATACCCGGCAAACACTTCACTTTCATTTTGTTTTCCTTCCCCACGTGTCGTACAATGGAATCGCCAATTATAAAGCACCGAATCAGCTGCAACACTATCTGCCTGATCAGTTGCCTCCCTCACTATCTTGCCCGATTCTTCGTTTCCTGTTTCAGTAAATGCTGCGATTTCTACGTTGCCGTTCAAACACTCCTCCTCAGTAGTTACCTCAACTGGGTTCGGTGAAACTTGCTCTTTCCAATTGCTCGTTTTTTTGCGACAAAATCACCAACTTCTGCAGTTCCAAAAGTTCCCCTTCTAGTTTGCGGATTCGTCTGTCGCTTCGATTGCATTGCCACATTCAACATTCGCTGCCTCCATTCCAGGTCCGGGATTCATTTCTACTCCAATAACCAATAATGGTGCAATAACGCTAGCACACAGAAGCATCACCTGAATACCGCCGTAATTCGCCTGGCCCGGCTGTAAGCCAACACGAACACGTGGTAAGCGCGCCGCGTAGGTATATACCAACACGCGCCCGGTAGACCGCCAAGCTGCACCTAAGCCTTTTACTTTTGAAGAGCTCCCGGAAAACACGTCCGCATCCGACGAGAGACGACAGCGGCCGTTGCTATGGATGCGCTCTTAAAGCGTTGTTAGATTTTTGGTTACTTAGGAACACAGCGCGTTTACAGACGTAATTAACTAAAATTATTGATCTAAATGAAAAATTCCATATTTGAAAGGGGTTTAGTAATTTTTTGAATTTTTATGTCATGAAAACACAAGATTATTAACTAATCTGTGATATAAAAGCAATGGAAAGTTCATAGGAACAATTCATACTGATTAATAAAGAAAAACAAAACAAAAAGTGACCCTCATTACCACCACTTGCACTATTTTTCTTTAGGATATCTTTCAAAATCCGACCCAACCTACCAAAGACTGCTTTTTTAGATTAAAGCTGACTGATACTGAATCTTTTCGGTGTAAATCATAACCAATCGTTCCTGCTTACTAAACACAAATTGAAGTTATCACAAAAATGACTGCAATTGGCATTATTCACTGAGCTCCTACTTCATATGTCAACCCCACTGTCATTGTTGAAAAGAAAAGTGGAGAAGTACATATCTGCCTTGTCACCCTTTCAGTACCTGTAACAGATGCACCACCTAAGATTGATGATGCGTTACAATAAATCACCAATACCTAATGGTTTAGTGTGATTGATTTCAAATCTTATTGGTATCTCGCTTTCCACCTATCAGATCAGAAATACACAGGCTTCCTTTACAATGGCTGTACATGTCTTGCAACATGTACAGGTAACTGCTTTTGGCTTATGGAATTCAGAATCCACTTTATTAGATGTCCAGATAAGGCTTTTAGCAGTAAAAAACTTATTTCATCACTCCTTTTGTTGATGACATTGCCATTAGCTCTTAATATTTCGGTCCACATATTGCCCACTTAAATTCTGTACTATTACAAATACTTCAACAGCACAGTATCTAAACATTAAGAAATAGTTTTTCAGCTCTATCATTAACTCACAAAGCACTTCTACAAACTCAGAAAGCATTAGACACAATTTAAGTATTCCCACAATGTTCAATTAAACAACTCAAAAGCTGTATGAAACTACTACACCTGCTTGTCTTAATTAAGCTAAAATAAATGTTAATATTTATGAAATTAGTGGTCATAGAGAAAAAAAGTGACCTATTTTTAACCCTACATACAATTCACTTCAATTCGATAAAAATAGTGGTTTTGTCAGTGCGTGGTTTGACATGGAATGACTCAAAAGGTATTTCACCTGTATAAAAGTGTTTGGAAGGGGTATAAATAAATACCAGTACTTTCAATATCTTTTCAGTTCTTGCAAATAAGTATAATGGATGGATAATTATAAATTAAATACACTTGGAATTTTTAACATTACTTTTGTAATCACTGAAATAACGTTCAAACAAAATGTGTAACTTTGCTTTACTTATAAAATAGTTACATGGCCTGTCAATATCAAAAATATACGCGCGTGTGCACACGCGCTCACACACACTTGTTAAAATTATAAATAAAAGAACAGTGTCAAATTAAATATCCTAGATATTTATTTCTTTTTATATATACAAAACTTTTAACAACTGTTACATATTGGGCAATCATTATTCCTTCACTATTTTATTTCAGAGCAGAGCTCAAATAACAAACATTGCAAATGACACTGAAAAAGAATGACTGAACATGCTAGATGGTATCAGCAAAGTCCATATCTTGATTACCACTAACACGCACTGGAAAGAAAGCTGGGCCGAAGTTTACAAGTTGCATTATGAAAGCTTTCATAAACAAAATATGATAAAAAGAAAGACGAAAGAAAATAAATGCAATGCATGTCAGCATACAGAATAATTTAAAGAGTGAGGAATATCTTCTTGAGCTTCTATCATCCCTACAGGATGGAAATATCTCAGATTACAAAACAACTAGGTGAAGTTTTCCATCACATGTCATTGAATTTCTTAAGTCTAAAAAATCAATATCAGGTAACTACTAGTCCATTAGTAAAGGACATAATATTTTTAACTGCTCCAAGAAAATCAAAAAGATTCAGTCAGTACATGGACAGAAAAAGGGCATGCAAAATGTTTACCTATCGCTATGTACAAAATTTGCATTCCACATAATATAAAAATAACAGAATTTTCAAAAAGATGACAAAACATACGTACAAGAAATTTGTTATTTAAAACACATTTTATTTAACTTTTTCCACTTCCTCCATGGTATTATTAAATGACAGTTAAAAAATCTGAACATTTGGAAGCAAGATCATTGCTTATAGTTTCAATGTTATCAGCACCATAACATATTTATATACAAATCACAAAAAAAATAGCAGTGCAGTGATTGAGACATCCCCCAATAGTCACTCAATACAAAAATTTAATGACAAAGGGAGAGGAGGAAAGCAAATGTAAATTATTCTACACAACAGCAGGTTTCCTCTCATGTGTTTTTTTAATAATTACCACATGCATCACAATCTGAAAAACCTTTGAGAGTTCAATTAATAGGCAAACATTTCTTGCAGCACCATTAATTCTCCAGTGTCATAAATTCATCAATTGCAGGAGGGATAGAAGTTTGTGCCTACATCTTGTCTCTCTTTATAAAAATCACCCACATATTTTCTTACAATTGTCAAAAAACTGAATATTACATAGAAACACTACTATTTACTAACTATAATATTCAAAAATTAAATCAACTGGCTTAATTTGTCAGACTTATCAATTTCTTTAATTTATGCATTATATATCATATTTACAAACACTGCCTTTGAAAAGAATTGTGATCACAACAAATGCATTACCATATTTTAAAACAGTTAATACCAGAGTAACAGATAAAACTTTCAACTCTGCCTCATCCCATTTCATAAATCATCCATCTTTTTCACATGACAAGTCAACAGTTCATTTTTCATTGCAATTATCTGAGATTAAATAAGAGAAAAACATTGTACACAAAACACTCACAGAGGATGTTCACGTTGAGCAAACTGTCATATTCCTCCTGAAGACAGTGATAAAAGAAAAATTTTGAGGTACTTTGGAAAGTTTATATACCAACAATGAAAATTGTAAGAAATCTACAAGAATGTTATCACTCCAGTTTTATACGAAATAAAAACTAATAATGTATGATGAAATAATCTAATTATCTTTATTTGCAACACAATTTTTCAAGATTTATTGTTCAATGAATTACTCACAGAGTTCTCCCAAAGAAATTAACTTTTTCTGCAAATAATATAACATACGCTTATTATTTACTACACAGGTTTCAGAGAAAACATACCGTA